GAGGGTGGTGGGTCAGATTAGCCCTTCGGGCCTGGTTCTCTGCGGGACTTTGGGGGAAGGTAAACATGCCTCTGCCCCGTACCCTGGATCCCCCACAGTGGCTGCACCCAGATTCAGTGGCCTGCCACTTTCCAAACAAAACCCGCAGCAAAAAGGGGCTGGTGGGCCCTGGCCCTCTCCAGCAGTGGGAGGCAGGTCATGGCTGCTGAGAGCAGTGCCCTCCGGGTCTCACTGGGCTGGGGCCCTGGTCCTCCCAGGTCTCCACATCTCACTGTCCACTTTCTGGCTAACAGGACCCCCCAGTCCTTTGGCTCCTGCAGCCAGCCCGGGCCTCAAGATCACAGCAGCCTGTAGGCCACCAAAGGGAAGCAAGGAGCCTTCCAGTCCATGAGCAAAGAGAGACTGCAAAATGCAGAAGAAGCTGCACCTGGGAGAGGAACGGTGTAGGGTGGTACATGGGAAAGAGCACAAGTCAGCAGCTAGCGGTGAGAGGAAGGAAAGGGAAGACACAGTTGCAGACGCCCGTTTGCTGTTGCTGGGATGTCACTGGGTTACTGCCCAGTGCTCTGGGGCGTGGGCTGGGAGAGCCCCACAGAGCTCTCCTCTCTGAGGCCGGGGGCTTACCTGTTAAAGTGACAGGCAGCACAGACCTGGCGGGAAGAATGGGTGGCCTGCGACTCGGTGTTCACTGGCCCTGTGACTGAGGCAAGAACTCGGCCTTTCTGAACGTTGTCTGCTTGTATCTGCGCGGTGGTGTTAGGAAGTGAGCAAACGAAGGGCCCAGCACAGGGCCCGCGGGGAGGCGCTGCACGAAGAGGAAGAACGCAGCGTGAGCTGGTCCTACTGCAGCAGAGCCTGATGGGGCCTGAACTGTGTTCTCCACCTGTAGCCAAGCAAGCACGGTAGCCTGTCCCTCAGCACCCGTTTGCCAAAAACATGCAGTGTGTCTCCCTGCCAGGAGAGCAGATTAGAAAACTGTTGTGTATATTCAACACCTTGATGCACCAGGAAAGCCACTCCTTGAAGGCCTGTGACGGCTCCTCTTGTCATCTCTCCATGCTGGGCTCTCTGCCACTGCCCAGCCCTGGTTTCTCTGTTGGCTAAATTAGAATGTTCTGGGGTGAGCTCAAGCTGATAAGCTCCCCTCGAAGGAAGGGGGCAGGAGCTCATTAGACGTCCCATCCTATTGAATGCAACCAGGAGAGTGGCCTCCGTCTGTCCTCCCGGCCTTCAAGGTTGGGAAGTGAGGATGCTGAGTTGTCGGATTTCCTGCAAAGGGGGTGCACAGTGTGAAGAGCACCATCCTAGGAGGTGGGGGTGACCACTCGCCATGTCCAGCTGGACTCCTCACCCGAGAGGATTTCAGGCAGACCCTAGGAGTTAGGAGAAGTGGGTTCTGCAGCAGTTAACAGTGTGCCTGGGGGCAAGAGACTTAGCCTCCAGGAGCCATAGTTGACTCGCCTGCAGAGTGGGAGTGGGGACACCCAGTGCACAGGTGCTCCGCCACTGGCGGCTCCTTCTCCACCTCAGTAAAGGCAGCCTCATGCCCAAGCGCCCGCGTGTCCTGGCCACGCCCATGTGGATTTGCTTTGGGGTCCCTGGCGAGGCAAATGCACTAACGTACATAAGCACTTCGATCAGTGCCTGGCACCTCACAAACACTCGGAAGCATTTGCTGTCAGCAGTAGCGTTAGTACTCAGCCCACGGCTGCGCGTAGCCCCTCTCCTGGGCACCCGGCTCCCCGATCCTCCCAGAGGTGTGGAGACGCCTGTGAAGGGGAACCGTGGAGACTTCGAGCTGTTCTCTGTGGTCGCCTCGTTTGCAAACAGGTGGGGCTGGGAGGCTGCCGCTGGCAATGCCTGCAAACCTCCACCCTGACCAGCCTTGGGAAGGCACCTGAACCTCGCGATCCGGCAGGGCCCTGCCCTCTGAGGAGAACACGTCTCGGCAGCCACGGTGACATGCTGAGCGCGAGCACTGGCTTGCGCCGTCTCCCTTGTTCTAAAGCTTTGAGAGCACCACACTTCCTGCCTGGCCCCAGCCACCCTCTCAGAGCCCCCAGCGGCTCACACACACACAGTGTGTGTCGTGACCCCTCAGCTGTCGGCCACCTCATGACCTTCTCTGGCAGATCCAGTCAGGGACCTGGTCGTGTCTGGGATCCCCAGCACGGGCGCGGTTAACGCACGTTTAGTTAATAGGAAAGGAGACATTCCATGTTTGGTTTCTATTGTCCTGTCAGAGAGGGCAGAGCTGACCTTGAAGCCTGCTCTGCCCTACCTGAGGTGGCGGCCTCCTCCTCCTCTTCCCCTCCTCCTCCCCTCCTCCTCCCCTCCTCC